TAATGCGCGCAAGTATTTATGTACAAGGCCAGAACCCGGAATCGGATTGCCAGCCTCGTTGCATACCTGTGCAAACAAATGTTAGCTTGCAAAGGCACCTAGTACCATAGAGATTCATTGTGCATCTTGTCTATTCCCGGTGGCATGTGCGGTACTCTCAGATGACTGCTTGAACTTGTCTATCCACACGTCGCAAATATCACGTAAGACGCCTGCAGAGTGGGCGCAAAAGGGGCAACCTCAAGCATAGCTTGGGTGAAGGTCCTTGTGTTCGACTGAAGTCGTCCAAAGCCGATGAGGTTTGGATACGTAGAGAGAGAGAGAGAGATAGCAAGGTAGATATGTGCAATGGTTTGGGGGGTGTCAACAGAATATCAGTATGTACTTTGTACTACATGCTCCATACTACGCAAGTGACATATACATTATACTATACCGTGCATATGTATGTTTTCCCATACAGGCATAAGATTCACTATGCACTCATAAACTATATACTATGCAATGCACAGGAAGAACTGTACATCATGTATGTTGTTGACGCGCACTCGCTGTGTACTGGTTTCCTTAAATTTATGGTCCAAGTTAAACTTAGCACGACGATGTTGCACGGGTTAAACATCAACATCCCGTAATTATGGTACGTGCCCTTCTGCCACGCACGGTGGCCAAACAAACGTGGAGGTTGTCCATCTTTGCGGAGCCCCTTTAAATTCCAGACGAATACAAAGTAATTAGCGAAGCGCACATTCGATATTTCCAAGATGTACCCAAGCATTCAACATCCGGGGCTGCACACTGAGTGCCATTGCAAAAGATACAGGATCAGGTTCTTATCAAAACTGGCATGGGGAACTGTTGCGTGCTAGCAGTTCCCCCCCCCACCAAGTGTCCACGAATCGGGTGGGGTGCCTGCTTCACGAAACTTCACGGGTAAACTTGGTAGTTCGTGAGCAATCCACGCTTATTTTTCGGGTACTTCACGCTACTTCACGCTACTGCATGGCATGATTACAATCATGGGTTTGTGATTATGTTGTTGCATCCCTTGCTTGTGAAATGCGTCATGTGGGGCCATGACATAGTAACATTCTGGTCCCGACAGGTCCAAGGACAACCTTCAAAGAGGATATTGGACCAAGAGCCCTGTGTGAACACAGTGTTTTTTTGTGTTTTTTTTTGTCCTGTGCGCATGTGAATGTGCATGCGCTTGAGGCATTGCCCGAATGTGAAGCCCAGCAGCCAATGAAACTCCCACGGCACAAGTTAAACTCCTGTACACTAATTGGCTGTACAAAATATCCAATATTTGCCATATGTACTCTGAACTGTACATTATAAACTATCTATTATATGTTATTTGCTTCTTACTATCTCCAATACACGACATACAGTACACAATACACGATTTGCGACGTGGGATTTCATCCTAGGGAAACCCGAAAGAGGCCGAAGTACCCCAAGTTGTATCTGGACATATCCCGGAAGGGGGTGATACATAGAAATTCCTCGGAGACATAGAAAAATCCTCGAATACCGCCCTAATGGGATGAGACGATCCGCGTTTCTTTAGATCCACTGGTCCACGCAGGACCGCGCAGCTGAGATGCGCATCATCCTGTGTCTAGCTGCTGCAGCGCTGGCAGGCCATCGGATGCGTGGCATTTCTTGGTTTGCCCTGTTCGGAAGGAGGTGCCTCTTTATATCAACGACCGAAAAATGCAAAATAAAAACAAAAAGCACTTTGTTGCATGTTGAGGCCCTCAATGGATTCGATCATTGGCGCCTGCCTTGTCGCGGGGACTCTCGAAAGTTGTGTAGACAAAACTGACTACATTCGAGTTATCATTGTGGGATTCAAAGTGAATCACGCTTGGTGCTGCTGAGCCATGAGTCAGGTGCTGCTGCAATTCCATATGCAGCCGCCATCTCAGAGCTTGATGTCGCTTCAGGCGCTTTCTGAGCAAATGCAGTGGGTGAGCATTCTCAGACAGCCATTTCGTGCAAAACGGACAGGCAACAGTGGTCACAGAGCCTTGCATTCTTCGATTTTGGGCAGGTGCAGAATAGGGATTCAGCACCCAGCGAAGTCACCTGACCCGCGAAGTTAGCTAGCGGCGGTTGCGAGAGCCCATGAATGCTTCTTTCTGAGGGGTTAATGAGTCATTCTGATTCATCCAGATTTACCTTGTAGGCAGGGGGTCTCAAAAGATGCAGCTGAGGTGCTGCACGCTACGTGGCTTTGGGCTGCATGTGCGTTTGGCTTCGCGCTGGCGAACTTGGCCGCCAAGCCGCAGGGGAGCTGTTTTGCAGTCCCCAAATCTGGGAAGCACATAACTCAAGGAGCTAGTTTGGAGCACGGTCTTTCTCACTCGCAACTAATGCGAATCAACCTTGTCTCATTTTGGCCTTTGTTTTTTGGTTTTCCACTGCTCACCTCCCCTTTAAATGTTTATGCAACCCAAATCTGACAAGGATATTTCCTCTACAAACGGATGTATTTGGAGTATGGTTCGTCGAGGTTCCACTAGGTAGTAGTGATCGCCTGTTATTACGAGTAATTTGCAAGTGAGCCTTAGATGCTAGAGGTGCCAGATGGGAGTTGCCACTCAAAGATGTTTTCCCTGGGTCACGCAAACATTGCGTGATCTCGGCCTTTCCAGCGTAGTCTTGACCACTGTCGTATCCCTTTTATGGCATATGGGACTTGACAGGGACACTGAAGTTCCCACGACCTGGCCTAGTCGGAGACGTGACCCTGGTCACTTGGTGATTTCTCCCTCCCGCCAACATGGCTGCTGACCGCTTGATAGGGAATGGTCCTTTCGAGAGGAAATGTATCATCCATGTGCCTTGGGCAAAACCTTGTCCGTATCTGGAGATTGGTGAAAATCCCACCACCCAACCTCCAATCATGTACTGTTCTGCTTATTGCAGGTAGTTATGAACAATGGGCACTGAGATGTTGAGCCACAAGGAGTCCGGCCTGAATAGTTTTGATGACATGTCCAGGGACTATCCTGGATTCGGCGCATTTGCTATTTGAGCTGCCTCAAGACATGGTTTCAGGTGGGGGGGACAGCCGTTAGGCTCGGTGTCAAGAAGCCCGTGTGATCCTTTGCTTGACTCGCACTCCTGCGGATTGCGAACCATCTTCTTTCAAGGGACGCCTATTTTGGGTGCCATGTCAATTTGCAGGTGTGTAGTGTTTGGGTAATTAGACAGGGCTCCTTAAAAGATACATTTTCCACATTTGAAACATGGCTTTTTCCACCAAAAATAAAGGGAAACCACCAAATACAAGGCAATGTTCAGGTGTAGAATGTAAGGATCCCTGGTAGTGTTGGGGTAATTAGAGCCTTTTACATTGGCACCTCCAGGTCCTGCTGCTGAACTACCAGCGGCTGTCGCTTCCGCATGCTAGGCTCTCAGACATAAGCTGGAGCTAAGGAAAAGGCAACGTGTTGCTTGAAGCACATCCAAGGCACAACCGCGGGTAGAGAAGGTTCGGGTTTGTCCCAATTATGCAGAGCTGCAAGTATCAAGCCGGTTTGATTCAATATTGCCATGGTGTTGGAGTAGATCCCCTAAAATGCCATATTTTGTTGGTGTTCAATTTTGTCCACTCTTGCGTGTGCAAGGATGCTCTTTACAATGTTGCACATGTTTGTCTGTCTTGTTTGAGGGAACCTTGAGGGAAGTTTGAAAAAATGGGGTCAGCTGTCCATTGGTTGGCCACAGAGGGGGTCTTGGGAGGCTTTTATCCCAAATGCAATGGCTCTTCTCTCCACTGAATATGGGTGTGTCTTTTTTGGAGTTGGTACCCCTTTTTGGTGGTGTTCAATGGCAACCAAAAGAACAAAAACACAATGGGGCGCCCTAAAACGAGACACACCCATATGAGGGTTCGCTCAACATTTCCAGCAATCCATGCTTCATTCGGGGGGGCACATGGGGGAAATCTCCAAATTGCAACCAACAAAAAGCACAGGAGCCCTAGTTTTCCCATGTCCTTTTGCGGAAAAACACGTGAAAGACGTCAAGTCCAATGTGGCAACTCAGAACGGCCCATCGCCTCAAGGTCCACCGACGCTTCGAGCGGCAACTTGGCCAGCTGTCCTCGCGACGGGACCGCCACGCAGTCGGTTAGTTGAGCGCCCGAAGTCCTTGTGGCCATGTTAGTACATCCCTGCTACCTGGTACATTGACTCTGCTACAAGCAACCATGGTACATCGACAGTCGACAGTTGCAGAGCAACGGACTCTCTTGAGATTCTGCACTCTCCACTACGTGGTTGCATAGGGCTCGCAAGTTCTGCATAAACCACTATTGACAGTTGGTGGAAGCAAAGGTCAATGTGTTTTGGGCGCTCAGTTGGGTCCAGCTGGGATTGTCACTTGTTTTTGCTGCCCTTGGCGTTTTGCTTTCGAGGCGACTAACTCGGGGAAGAAACACATGCAATTGCTGCACATTGGCGCTACTTACAGTTGTTGTCTCCGATTGTTTGCCTTCCTGCCTTCTCCCCATTGTCCATTTAGGCAGCTCTACTGCGTCGTTATACATATATATATATGTTTACAATAATATATATATATATATATATATATATTTATAATACATACACGACAATGCGTATATCTACCACAAGTCTGCTCGGGTTTTGGGCACTCGCATGACTGTCCGTTTGGGCGACAGGAGGAGATTCTCCTGGAAATCCGGGATTTGCAGCGGTCCTCCCAGAAAGCTGGGGCTGCCCATGCACGTGCCACGCGCTAAGGTCTTCATTCGAGAGAAAGCCAATGGAGTCTGTGAGTCTCTTTCTGTTTGGGTTGACCGTCAACTTTGTTGCTTTGGGTAAATGTCTCTCTTTCCCTCTCACATTCTGTAATCCATGTCCATGTGAGTCAGCCACCAACTTGTTGTCAGGATGCCACGGGTATGCTTCTCAGTGTCACGTCCCGTCCCAACAGTCCTGGAAGCTGCCCTTTGGTTGTCCAATTCAAATAACCCCAAAAGGGTAGTACACCAATGTAGCGCTTTACAACCATTTTAATAACCGCGAAATCAACGGGTGTTGGGTGCTCAGATGGTGAGTGATTCACAGGCCTGCATCTGCTTGCAGAGCGTCAATGTCTTGCGGAACATTAACTATGCCGCCGCCCCAGCCTGCACGAGCGACAGGGAACACTCTAGCCTGCGTCACTTTCTGATCGGGTTTGATTTGTTTTGCCCACTAGGCCCTGGACCCTGCAGAGCATTCCAACATTGAGACTTGTGGGGCCGGGCGGGGGGGGGATTCATAGTGAAGGGATTGAATATCTTGTCCATCTGATGGCTGAAAAGACTGGGGGAATTACCTGTAGATTACTTGGACTTGGTTCTCATGCACAGCATGAGACCCAAACAGTGAAATCTCACGTTGGGGGATCTCTTTTTGCGGGGGTTCATGTTAGTTTGCAGGGGAGTATCCTTCCATCAACAAATATGGAAGTGCACAGACACCCTTTCAAAGACTAGTTTCCTTTTGGGAAAGGGGCCTATGCCTGGCGGGATGGAAGATCGAGCAGAGGTTCCTTGGTTTTTGACACACCCTTCAACTGGTCGCCTAGCTGTGAGCAACCAACAACATGATTGGGAATCTACGGTTGGTTTGGGGAGGGTGGGAAGGGAAACAACCCGAATTTACCACAAAACCATCGAGAAGAGTCTGTTTGGAAAACGTTGAACCCCTTGTTGGATGGTTTTAAGGAGAAACCCACAGGAAACCATCCTTTTTGACAGGTCCATGTAGTTTGAGCAACCATCCATACTCGCCTTTTGGTCTAGTCTACTGAGTCTAGCAGCCAAACATGAATACCTCAAGAGTGCGGGCAAATCATGCCGAGCCATACCCTTCTGTCTTCTGGCAAAGTCGTGAAGAGGAAAGGGGTTTTCTTCCTGGCAAGCATATCTTTTCAGTTGTGGACTGTCCGGGGGCAATAGCCCTGGAGTCTTCGGGGATCCAGGTGCTCCTTTGCATCAAGACAGAGTCGCAGAGGGCCGCGGCGGCCTGGCACTTGAAGCGAATGCGAGAGAAATGAAGCCGTGCTTTGGGCGTCGTTGGTTGCTATGTTGCCGAAAAAGAACTGCTCTTTGACTTCTTGCCTTGTTTTCCACCATGGTCCACTGGTTTTCACAGAATTGGACTTCTTAAAACAGGTCGGTTCATGCGTTTTTGTTTCGCCACATCTTTGGGTCTGCGTCAAAATGGGGGACTCCGGGAATCCCCCCCCCTTAAGCCTTTAGGGCCATCCCCCTCGCGGGGGTGTGAGCGCCAAAAATTTCCCGAGGCCAGTTCCAGCTTCGGGGCATCGCAGGATGTGGTCGTCGTGGCCTCACCGGTTTGCTCCGGGCTTCTCAGAGAGTGCCCAGAAACTCCCAGCTGGGTGGCGTGGTGGTTCCCAGCCATGCGGTTCCTTGTGTTTTTCAGGTGTCTGGTCGGTTGAGTGGTTGGGTTTCCCACTTAACCCACTAAAACATGTTATTATGTTGTTGCCAGGGCATCTGAAAACGGACAGCCCAGGTGTGCAGTTGAATTGGTCGGACTCTTTTGTGAGGTGTGCAAAAAGTCCCGTTGTGGAGAATGTCCACATGCCACCAGGGAGGGGGGGGGTAATTGTTCCGCATTGAGATTCACAGCATCCTGGTTTCATAGGGGGTTATTCCTGGTTCTTGGTAGACCCGGCAGACCCAAAGGTAAACCAATCGGAGCCACAATCGAGGGGTCTCCAACTTCCCGCATGGAGCAGCACGAGGAAAAGGGGAGCGAAGTTGCGATGCTTGTCCAGCCCATGACATCCTCGATGAAAGCTGGCGGGCAGCCCCAAGCACAAATAGGTGGGATATCCAGAAGCAAGGATTCTTTACCCAAGGGTTCTGGGTAGACCCCTAAAATGCAATTTTTGTGACTCAGATGTCATGTTCTTCTCCGTGGGATTGCTGCGCACGGAATGCAATGTGTTGCACGATTGACTGGGCAAGCTTCGAGCATAAGGCAGATGCCTTGGACAGGAGTAAATCCTAAAAGGATCTAAAAGGGACCGTCTCGTTTGTGCTGGGTTCCATGTAAATTGGTGGGAGGGTAAACATATTCATCATCTTGGTAGGCGCCGACCAGTGTTGAGATCAGTCTATGCCAGAGACAGTTCGGTCCATGCGCCATTCAAGCATGGTGCCAAGCGAGCGGCGTCCAAACGTCCAAAATTATTCTGCAATTAGCATTTGGGGTACCTGCATTGCAGTATTTCGTATATGCCTACATTATTTGTACCATGGCAATAAACTTATCAGGATTCTCAGAGATGGTCCACCTCATAATGAGCCAATGACCCACGTTTGGGGGCCGTGCCGAGATCCTGGGCGGCTTGCGCCTGCTCCTGGCGCTGCTACCCCGCTGCGAGAAGAGATGGGAGGCCATCGTGCCGAGCACAAGTGAACGGGTGTGTTTTCGACTCGGGTTCCCAAACTGGCGCCAAAACGAGGCGCCCTTCGGGCTTGAAGGCCCACGTTTAGGGGGCTGCTTGAAGACCTGGCTTCTATGTCAGCTGGAAGTGTACCAAGTGAGACACGCTCAATTGCCACCAGGCGGACATTTTAGAGGATGAGGACTGCCTGCGCCCTAGCGGACGCAGCATGTCTTTCGGAGGACCTGAGCCGTCCACACGGAACCTGATGGGCGGGTCAGGGAATGGAGGGGTATCTCTGGGGGCAAAAGCTAGGACGGGAGTCTTTCCCTAGGTCCTTCCCAAAGGGTCCGATACCTGTCAAGGCCCCCGACCGAAAGCTTGCCAACGTGTCCGAAAGAATAAGTACAGTTTCACCATATTGTTTGCCACTTTGCGAAACCGCAAACTGGATGGCATCCGCTTGGTTCAAAAGAATGAGATTCCGAATTGGATATATACATATAGCTTCCAAAGGATGCTTTCCATTTGCGTTGGGAAAGTCGGCGAGTTCCATGGTTTCAGTTCCGACCAGAGAATTGTTTGATATGCTTCATGATTATGTTTTGTGTCATTCAGCCCTTCTCGTATGCCCTTTTGATATGCTCTTTTGAGCATTCATTCAGCCCTTCCCACAGAAAGGGCAGAGCCCCACCCGTCGTTTGAGGCGGCACTGCCCTCGCGACATTGGCCAATGGCCATGCGCGGCAGCCCGGGTGAGAGCGATCCCAAAACCACCGAAACCAGGTATCATGGGTTGGCCTACATTTCTTGTTCTTCCTACATTTTCTGCCTAAACCTGTATAGGAATGTTGCTTGTTTAGGACTCAGCTGATTTGAAACTAAACGTGAGTTGAAGCGGCCAAGCGGCAGACCGCACAATCGGCCCGTGGCGGTGCGAAAGAACCCCCGCGTCTACTGGTTGATTGTGACATGTCCCAAACTGCACCATCACCCCAAAATGGCTTGCCCTGGGAAGTGGCATGGACCACCTGCGGTCCCCTGGTCTGGTGGTTTAGTTTTGACCCAGGCCCCGCCGGGGAGGCTGCAGCAGCTTGTGGCCGACAGTGCAGCACTCGAAATCCGAATCCCGATCGAGTTGCGACGTGGAAAGACTCGAACTGGAAACAAGTACTTTGAAGGGGAACCCAGAGGAAAACGAGAAGTTTGAAAAGGTTCCAATTCCCGTTTAAATGGGCATGGGTACACGCCTGATCTAGGGCCAGCGTCCGCTCAAAACTCCTTCGACAAACGAATGGATTCAAGGTTCCTCTGTGGCCGCGTTCCACTTTGAGCTGAGGAGGTCGTCAAAGTGATCCATTTGAGGTGAACGGGGGAGCTCGAAAAGTGAAACACGACACGAACATTGTCCTATGTGCTGTGTTTTTGTTGTTCACCGTGGCTCATGTTGGCCATGTGCCGGGATCAAAGCACACATGTACCTTGCCGGTTGGTCAACAACTCAACCTCTTTGGTGGATAAGAACCCCGAGCTTTTGCATATCTCGGCCCATGGCCCACAGCTTGGGAATTTTGACCCTGGCCTGACTTGCCTCATATCCCAGAAGCTCCCGTTTTGAATCCCAACCGATTCCTGCCAGAGAAGCGACCACAAAGCTATGGGAAACTAGAGGGTGTCCTTTTGTTACTTGCAAATTGTCTGAATCCACTGTACCCACTGAAAGCTTCAACCAATTGGTCTGCTCTAAAGCATCGGATCTGACATAGATGCATATAATAGGTACATAGCTACACAAAGCACATCTCGAGGTGAAGTAGATTGTCATTACGACTGAGCGACACTCCGCTAGAGCATGAGGTCAGAAGCGATTATGGATTCTGTATGGCCCTCAGCTCCGAGAGATGAACACCATGCTGTGCTCCAAATTGGGAGTGAAAACCCCAAACCCTATGGACCGAGCACCCTCGAAAAAGGATGTGGACAGCCAGACACATTGCTTTTTTGGTGGTCTATCTACCAGTTTTGAAGCTTGATGGATGTTAGGGAATGATTTTGGTAGCCCCTGCCGGTTTGTGGTAGTTATTCCCGGCAACCATGCTTTTCAACTTCCACCCCGCCTGCATGGTTGTTCTCTTAAGGAAGCAACCAACCTTGTTTCATTCAAACAACGGTGGCTCAGCTGAACGCAACGTGCGATGCCTTGTGAATCTGTTCTGGCCATGACCATGATTCGCTACGTTGTTCGGCGGGTGATGAAAAGTAGGGGGCCGTTTTGGGACAGTGACGTGACGTGACGTGTTGTGCTCCCTGAAGATCCTTTCAAGGGGACCCAACATTTCAACAACCCTCGAATGTTCATTGGACCCGCACTAGCAAGACCGTTTCCCTTTGCGTTTTACTTGCTGGTTTCTGGCATAGTTTTAAAGAGCAATCACTCGCACGAATCCACACACACACACACCTGCACAGTGTCGCACGTGCGACACACACACACACACACCCACTCACTCACTCGCTCGGTCATCACTCACTCACTCACTCACTCACTCACTCCCTGACTCACTCACGCACGCACGCACGCACTCATGCACTCACTCACTCACTCGCGCACGCACTCACTCACTCCCTCCCTCCCCCACCCGCCCACTCACTCTCTCACGCACGCACGCACGCACGCACGCACGCTTGCAATCACTCACTCACTCGGTCACTCATTCACTCACTCACTTACTCACTTACTCCCTCCCTTACTCACTCACTCACTCACTTACTGACTCACTCACTCACTGACTTACTCACTTACGCACGCACGTAGGCACGCACGCAGGCATGCACTCGCTCGTTCGGTCGCTCCTTGCACCCCTGCCCACCGCGTACCGGCGCGCGCAAAGCACACGCACTCACGCTCTATGCACGCACAATCGCACACACAACACGTACATATACGTGATATTGAAAGTGACAGACCAGTCACGTGACAGGGAAGCCACTTTGACGTCACATGAGGAAGCTGTTTTCCGAATTATGGTTTGCTCTCGCCTTCTTGAGGCTTCGAATGGTGCACTTGTCCTCGGTTCTACCAATCGAGGCGGGCTGAGCGGTCCCTTGGATTTGGGAGGAAACGTGGGAATTCGGAAACCCTGCATGTTGGCGGCTACCCCAATACACATGAACAAATTAGCGAGTCAGCCTGGTGTTGAATGCAAAACGCAACCAACAAACCAGGCACCAACGCCAACTCACGCATCACACCCAAGTTTTCCGGTCAAAAGGCAGTTCCCTTGGTTTCCCTGTGAACCCACCCCAAAATCCAGGGCAGGCTTAGCTTGTATAGGTTGTCGCCTGTTTGGTGTTCCTTCATGTTCCTTCTCAACCCACAGCTGGTCACAGCGAGAACATGTGCCAGGCTCAGGGCCAGCTGGGCTCTTTGGTCCAGAGATACGCGAGGCACCGGGCCTCGTCGACTCGTCGCTTCGGGAGAAATCCGGCGACTGGGGATTCCCCCATTCTTCCAACCATGGTTCTTTTCGAAAACCGGATCCGTTTCTCTGGCATGAACTCAAGTTGCCTACGGAATGAATTCAAATTGGTGGTACTCTCCCAAACGGTTGGTGGACATATAGCCCCTAAGGCAGGTGTAGCTTATATGGATCATCAACTTGTCTAGGTTATTCCCGCACGAGCTTTGAACATGGATCGGAGGTTCCGGTCGAAAAATATCCAGATTGGTTCTGGTCAATTTGGTTTTCGAGACATGGGGCGGCTCGGCCACAAGAACCAGACTCACTCATTTCTGTGTTTGTGGCTAGAATGGTGATGGACCCCGCGTCCTCGATCCCGAATTGGACCTCGCATGGGTTTGTATTGAAAACAAGACCCACAATGGATGGTGTGCATGCTGACTTTGGCTTCGGATGATCATGTGTCCTGTTCACGAAAGCTAAGTAGCTGTGCTGTGGTAGTTATCTAAGCTTCAGCTTCTTTTAGGGGCTGAACTTCCCACGATGCCTGATTTAAGCAAGGTTTGAGGAAATCCTTGAATGGCAAGAACGTAGTTGTTTTGGATTGGGGACCCCCCCCCTTCGACTCTCCCCTGGCCTACCGGCCTACCCCTCCTCCCTGCCCGGTCTGAGCATATTCCCATCTCGTCGATCCACATGTCAGCGGGAAACTTTCTCATTCCCCAGTGCAAGTTTGGGTCTTGACCTCTGGATGTTCTGGGTCGTACATGTCATTGGGCTGGCTAGGTTCACCCGCCTCTCAAGTCCATGACATGGATGTTCTATGATTGCGGGCTCAGTGAGTCAATGCATCTGGTTTCCAGACGCTTGATCGATGCCAACTTTGGCGCTTGGTGGCTTTTTGGACAAATGCAACCATTTGCCCAGGCCCATCCTGATTGAAGGAAGAGTGCCTTTGCAGCAGCAAACCTTGGAGATGCAGAAAGAGAGCGATCACCAGGCGGAAAGAGCGGGCATTCATGTGCCAGTCTGGCGGTGGCATGCCGGCTGGTGCCATCGGTGGCTTTTTTTTCTTCCCCCCCCCCCCCCTGCGAGTAGGTGGACTACTTCGACGTAGGCATCAAGCACGAACCGGTACTTTGTGTAGGGGTGAGAAAGCCTCTTGCACAGCTTTTTCTTGGGCTATTGGCAATTTGCTGTTCAGCAATACCTGTGGACCGCATGCTGCAAGACGCCAGAGAATTGCGAGGCAGACGACTTGTGAACTAGTGAAAGACATGCTGGCTCCAAATTGGGGAGTCCATGGAGTCATCAACATGGGCAGTGTCCACTTAGTTTCCCTTGAGGCTCGAAGGAATGCAAACACACGAGAATTGACAGAATGTTCCTCGGCTCTCACCAGAATGCTGCGAGACATGCATCGATTGTGCAAGCCTAGCCAACACATCGAGAGATATCTTTTTTGGAGAAACGAACCGCTTTTGGTTCCATGTTGTTTTGATCAGTCGTCCCACTGGTGAGGAATTCAACCACAGGCGCCCTTTCTCCGGCGAATCAGGGATCAGCAGTACCTGTACGAGCAAACGTGGCCTACGCTCCCATTGAGGGTGAAACCAGGGTCACATGCAGTTTGATTCCACCGAGACTGAGCTTCTAACGCAAACCGCAGGTTACTCTGCAGAAGGCCGCGGGCAATGGAAAAGGACTGTTGGAGTTGGAGTGTTCAGAGTTGCACCCTTTAACAGAGAGTTGTAGGATATGGTTGCAACATCCAACATCCCAGTGCAACTTGAAAAGTTGCATCCTCAAAAATGAGTGTGTGTTTTTTTGTGAGGGTACTCTTTGTTGGTTGGTTTTAAGGGGAAACCAAAAGGAAAACTAACCATTCCGGGGGGGCGGTCCCTACTGTGAGGCACACCTTAAACAGTTTGATCTCTTCTGCTGGATAGGACACGTACTGGCGCTGGAGAACTCTACGCGTGCCGCGGAGGCGTGTTTCGGAGAACGCACTCGGGATTTCGGTCGCCAGAAAGATGTGCCTATCATCACGGGGGCATATGGGGGCCAAAAGCCTTTGATGACCGTCATTACTGGGTGGGTAAAATACATGTAATATAATATGATATGATGTTTGACGGTGTCCCATTTGACTACTATTGGGTCCCTTTGGGGACCCATGTCATGAGCTCTTGACCGGCGGTCTTTCCAAGCCAGGGAATCCGGTAGAAGTCCCCTGTAGAGGTCCAGTTCAGTTCCACGGCAACGGGTCCTTGTGCGGCTTTCCGGGACCCCATGGTCAGGGATGGCCATGAGTTCGCACCGGCAAGCGCCGGACCCATGAGATGTGTTTCTTTTCTCAGGGGGCGGGGGTTTTCCCGAATTCAGGTTGCTGAGTTGCAGTAAGTATTGAGGATAGATCCGTTAACTGGGGGTTTCACACAGTACATGGGCACCTGCAATTTGCAGCTGGACATATACATTAAGCAAGTCTTAGTACCTACTGGCAACCGAGCAAGCGTTCGGGTCGGGTTAGAGCGCCCAAAAAGTCGGACCCCCGATTGGTGGTACCGTCACTCGATGGGTCTCCTTGGGTCAAAGTTTGGTCCCTTTGAAACTCACTTGTCCAAAGCAAATCCATCCTCAGACCTTTTGGTTTTACGTCGGGCCTATTTTTGGGCAAGTGTCCAAATGAAGAGTTTCTTTCCATTAGCTCACCTTTGCAGCCTTACGCCTTCGTCCATTTCCCTGTCAACCGGGTCCGCTCGGTTGAGCATGAAACCCCAAAAAACCCTCTCACTTGTAGCGTCTCCTTTTAGGGGGGCGGGGGGGCCTTTTTGGGTTTGAGCGCCTTACAGGAAACAGGTCACCGGAGAATGCCTCCGTGCCAGGGAATCAACCGAGCGCCCAGTGAGGGCAAGACAGGCGAGTTCGGAGATTCGGTGAAGTTCGGTGCGGCTTCGATTTGAACGCTTCTGCATACATTGCTTGTTGCAAGTACTTTGCCCCTCAGTGCCTGATTGAGACCACAGATGTGTGCTGCGAATCTTAAAGGTGTGACGAGCACGGAAAGGATTGGACGAACTTTGATGTTCTGTTTTGAATTGCTTGGAAAGGAAACCAAAAGGGCACACCTATCTATTTGGTTGCATGCCATCCAACCTCACCAGAATCCACGCGCTTCGCCGCTGCGCCCTTCTGAAGGTTCGGTTTGTGGGTCATCCACTGCCAGAAGCAGCTCCAGCAGAAGAGGTGGGGATTTCAAAATTCGGGCCTCATTCACATAAGCGTCCTTTTTTGGTTGGTGAACAACGGATCGCACTGGTTTACAGTAGTGTTATTCCATTTACCAGGGCCATCTATTTTGCCAAAAGGGCACCTACGCTCATTCAATGCCAGGATTTGATTCTGTTTTACACAGGGACCTGGGTTGGCGTCTGCTGATATAAAGCCGCTGTGAAACGTTGGGGCTGAGTGTGTAGCCGCTGCTTTGGGATTCTGTTAGGTCGAACTCTAAGAGCAAGTCTACAACAACCTTGGGGCATGTCTAGATAACCCTGGTACAAGTGCAGAAGGCAGAAGCGGCAAAAAGCAACGGGGTCTTGTTTCATGTGATTCTACATGTCAAGGTTGACTAAATACGTGACGGAATCAAGCATGGTTTTGGCTGCGGGGTCAAAAGCTGCAGTTGGAAGAATTCAACTGTGCCAGAACTCCTGAGTCAGGTCTCACGGCTGCCCAGATCTGCCGGAGGAAGGTTAGTAGGGGACCATCCCAACCATAAATGGGGTGCGGCCGCCTTGGTAATTCTTTACCTGAGTCTGGGTAGACCATTTGAATACCGGGTTAAGTTTTGATGGTGACTCGTCTAAGCATGTATTCTTTGAAACCATGGGCGCAGCGCTCTCATGCTCAAACCGTGAGTTTCGGACATCTAGTGAACCCATCAAAGCGTTGTGGGTATGTGTCCCAGCAAAACCCCCAAATGGCTTCGTTGTCCTTTTGGTCTCGTTGAAGACACCTAAAAGGGCACCAGCTCAAAAATGCACACGCACACACAGATTGCTCTGCAAACTCGCTCAGGTGGCAAGGATACACTCAAGAAGTTGAGGGCGACCCGAAAGGCCGGGTTTCAGGCTGAGCGTGAGTTTTTCCTTTGGCCAGCAAATCCACGGATTTGGGGGTACAACGGGCCTTTAATCGATCCAATTCTTACTTCAGGCCTTCAGGTCAGCTCATTATGACGTCCTGTCTTTATCTTGGGGATCCCTTATGTCAGGTTGTTGAAGTATTGCATAAAAACTGGTATATGAACTAATCTGAAGCCCACTTATCTAATCACCAGAACATGACTGGTTCTCTGGTTGTGTTGCCATTTTCCGTTGACCCTTTGGAGCGCTCTCCTTTTAAGACGAAAGGGTGCTGTTTCAAGCATCAAGAGCAATCATGTGCCGTCTGTCGATTGGCATTGCCGCTCTGGCGGGTCCAGTCGACAGGTTTCAGGTGGTTCATCCCAGTATTTCTAAAGATTCATAGATGCCAGCTGCCGAAGGAGTTTGTCCATCCACTGTAAGTTGCCTATGCTTTGTGCCTTGGATGAACTGGCAGAATGCCTCTCACGAGCTACAGCCAGAGCAGCTTTAGGCACTTGCCTCTACCCAGTCCTTGTAGATTCAATTGATAGCATGGCGCTGATTTCAGCTTGGTTCGACCCATTCTGAATGTTCAGCTTGTTTCAGCTTCGTTGTACCAGTGCCAATGCTATTGTTCCCAAACAAACAGCAAGCGGGAGTCGCAGCTTTGCTGGACTGTACCTGTCAGGACTGCTTGCGAATCCTTCAGCGCCTGCGCCCAGAGGCAGGTTTCACTTGCCGGTTTGCGCCCATTCAGGGCAGAGATTGGGACCCTCACCAACATGAAGGTTCTCACCTTGCCAAAAGGAAACAGGGCACCAAACTCAATGTGCATCGCGATGGAAGCTAGCCCAGCATCTCAAACTATAGAAACTATTTCAACATCTTCAAATCATCCTAGTCCCCCCCAATTGATAGCAGTGTTTTTGGGCTGTAAGAGGGTTACGTTGGATGAAGTTTCTGGAGATATGAGCCAGTTTGAGAGTAGCCTTAGCAGGGCTGGTTGCTGGCTCGATTCCCCGCCCCCTCATCATCTAAATATTGGATTTGTATTACATGATCTTCCGAAACAAAGCAACGAAGCAGAATAACATGTATAAATCAAACCATCTCGCTTTGGATTCTTCATAATTCTTCTTCCATCTCGAAATGGCTGACAGAAGTCATCCGATGCTTTGCAGGCCTTGCTGGCGCGGTGTGACGAGGACCGATTCGCAAAAGTTGGAGTTGTCTCAAAACGAGGGCCCCAAAATTGGCGGGGTGCCCGTTTTTTTTTGTTTGGCTTGTTGTTTCCCGATGAAGCAATCCTAAACTGGGCTCTTCGGGGAAATGCGTGACATGTTTGGAAGCTTCATGCTTTGGTGCAGTGTTGGTTAAAATTATCGAATGCCCCTCCCCAAGGTTGTTGGATACAAACCAACCGTGTCTCTCTGATGTCCACCAAAGGGTGAATGTCTGTTGCTTTTTGGTGGTCAAACTTGTTGGACCTGTAGGCTTTGCCTTTTGTGACCCCTTCATGAATCACTTCAAACACGGTTTCTGATATTTGTCTTTTGTTTGCGAAAGGACTTAACCCCCATGGTTCGTGCACAAGAGCTTTTGGGTTTACTTTGTAACCAACCAGTGGCGTTTCAGGAAGCCTCGAACATGCTCCGCGACATTTTCTCCTCCGTCATCCTGCTGATTCCGCCCAGTGCCTCGACTGCAGCTTCGTTACCGCCCAAAGGGTTCCACGTTTTGGGCACGCAACCTAGGGCGGTCTGTACTGGAATGCATGAGCATTTCCTTGGCTTACCTTTTTTTTCGGGCACAGCCGGCAGGTTTGGGGGGCATTGGGATGATCATAAACTAAGCAAGCTCACCCATGAAGGTTTTTTTTTTCTCAGGGATGCACCCAGTTATGGGCTTAGGGAAGAAACCAAAATTGACGTCAGACATGGTACAACTTCAGTCATGGTTGAATAGGTGTGTTGTAAAACCGGGAATCCGGCAAAAAGATGACTTCCTGTTGGTTGTTTCTGTAAGAAAGACCCAAAAGGGTACCCTTAAACTAGGACACATCCACGTGTTTGTAAGACCACTAGCCCATTGCGTTGCGTGCTCAGTGCTCGCGCACCTAGCGCATGTCAACTGAGGCAACACCTCAAGGACAGCAGAGTCGTGATTCGGAGGTCCTGCCTCACGGGCAGTCGACGCACAATGCGCAGATTCTTTTGCCAAATGTGTGTGATGTTTACACGGACCACCCTCACAGGGTCGCAAGCAGATGGAGAGTTTATTTTGGAGCATCATTTGGGGGATTGCAAGAGCAGGCTGCGGCCCCTGTTTGACCCTGGTGTTGTCTTGTGCCATCCTTTAGGGGGTTCCTTTGCAGAGAGGCCATCATTTTGACAATCCTCTGTGCTTTGGCACTTCTCTTATGGGCACCCAAGTGTGATGGTTTCGCCAAATAGTGGAACGTCCAAAATTGGCGGTGTCCTTTAGGTCTCTTTTTTAAAATTTAACAAATGGGTACCCCCAAAATGACACACCCTGTCACTCACTGGACATCAACCCCCATGAGCCATGAGGAGCTGCCTGCCTCTTGTTGAGCAACTTTCCACTAGATCCAAGCCCCGCCACCAGAAAGCGACGGGATATGCGACCATTGCAAGAAGAACCATGCAACTAATATTACAAAAAGAGCCACACTACTCATATTGACATGTTGATCATGACGATCAACTAACAATTTCTCTTACTACCAGGAGTCTCCATGACCCTTTAAAAATGGGGTCATTACCCAAAATAATGGGGTCATGGGCCCATTTTTACAGGGTCATGGAGACTCCAGGTACTCACATCACTCCTCATCATTCTACGAGGGTTACCCCATGTCCCACGGGGAGATGTGTTTCAGTGATGCGCTTGGCCGTGCTGCCAGGAGCTGGTCCTTCCGGACCCGCGCCTCAGGAGCGATTTACTGCAAGGATGTAGCGGATGGATTGGAACCATGCGTAAGACATGTGCATAAGACATATACTTGTACATGGTAGATACAATCATACATCTATACATATTAGCATAAGTAGGTTGTTTTATTATTTTAAGAAACAAACATGTAGTATTCATTCTGTATCAGGCCCTGACCCCCAGCCCCTGTGGGGCTTGCGGTTGCATGTGTTGTCGCTGCTGATGTCTTGGCTGGCGGTTGGAAGTTGTTTCTCTTTGCTGATTGTTGGTGGGTGTTTCAATTGCTGGCTGCTTTGGATCGGTTGGACCCTTTGCAGGTCCGGGCAAAACGATCGCCACATTGACTTGTGTGGCCACTTTGGCCAAAGCATCGCTTGATCTTCGGCTTGAAGCCATGTTTGCCCGGCGTTCCACCTTCGCACCTTCGCTGCAGCCAAGCTGTCCAGACGCACCGACCGTGGGTCCGTCGGTCGGGCAGACGTGAGGACCTCCGCGGGTCGCCATTGCCTTGGGCTACCGCCACGGCGAGCAGGTCACGCGCTCAGGAAGGCGCAAGATAAAGTTGGTCGGCGTGAGCGTTGAGCTCCGTGCTTTCAATACATCGATGCGGGCCATGGCTCAATGAGTTGTGTGTAGTGGATACAGCGAAGACAGAACGAAGAGCTACAGTTGGTTAGCCAAACATTTGGGGGAGCGCGACATGGGACTCTGTGTTCCAGTGAAGCATGCTAATCATGAGAGTTGAAAACCACCCAGCAAGATAATGCGCTGGCAGAGCGCATTGCACTATCAAAGCATTTAACAATGAGCATGAGACACTCAGGGGCATGCGAATTGAGGTTCCTTCAAGGGAATCGGGCCATGGTGCTGCCCATTGTTTTGCTTTGGGTCAGCATTTGTACTATGTGCAGGATGCAGCGAGTCTCTTTAGCGAACCAAACCAATATCTCCATGCAGCCCGCGACTCGATTCTGATAGTTTCCCCACCAAACATTCCTTGTGTGTGTGTGTGCGTTAGATGGCGCTGTCGTGACTTGGCAGAGTGATCATCGCAGCCTGAGCTCGAAACGTGCCCAGGTGTACACCATGGATACGCTCCGCACCAACATACTGCTCCGTTTGGCGACTACCAAAGGCCGAGTTGGTTGCATGAGCAAGCTGATCTCCATAGTTTAGCACCTCAATAGGCACCCACTTGTCACTTGTGCTCTAAGAGCCCTTGAGGAGCCGCTCAAAAGGTGCCCAGCAAGAAGCAGGAAGGGTTGAAAGCTTCAGGAGCCGAGTGCAGTTGGCATTAGCTGTAGCTTTGGACGTGTCAAAAGCCGAAGCGACTTCTTACTTTCTTGCTTGGCTTGTTATTGCTGGGACTTTCACGGCATGTTGGTGTCTCACGCACACAAAACAAAAGCAAAGCACGCCTCTTTCTCAGCCTCCAGAATTGCGCAGCTATTCGCTTTTCAACAATCATAGAAGTGGACTGGGGGTTCCCAAAATCGGCAGAAGTCCTCCTGTCAGCTTCGGTGATCGGCATGCATCCACAGTCCCGCTTGAGTCGGAAAAAAAAAAAAAAAAAAAACGTTGTATGTGTCAATGTCAGGCATGATCCCAGGTCTTTTGGACCTATCAAATTAGCTGCACCGCCGCTTGTAATTTGAATGGCAGGAGTGTGTTGCAGGAGCGGCCGCGCAAGTCAAACATGGGGCCGCGCAAGTAAAGCGCAAGTGAAGCGCAAGTGACGCAGTGATGATTCATCATCATCATCATCCTCATCATCCGCATGGTCGAAAGAATCCGGAAGATTGCTAAATTTTCGCGCAAGTCGCGCGCAAGTCGCGCGCAAGTCGTAGATGCCTTGTATCAGGAGTGGCCCATTTCTGTAGTTTGCATTTTCTTTGTTTCTGCAGATCCCAGCAACGAGTTGCAGCAGCAGCAGCAGCAGCAGCAGCAGCAGCAGCAGCAGCAGCAGCAGCAGCAGCCAGCAGCAGCAGCCGCAGCAGCAGCAGCCAGCAGCAGCCGCAGCAGCCAGCAGCAGCAGCAGCAGCAGCCAGCAGCAGCCAGCAGCCAGCAGCAGCAGCAGCAGCCAGCAGCAGCAGCAGCCAGCAGCAGCAGCGCAGCAGCAGCAGCAGCAGCAGCAGCAGCAGCAGCAGCAGCAGCAGCAGCAGCAGCCAGCAGCAGCAGCCAGCAACAATTTGCAGCGGTGTACACACCTGAGACCTCATACACTTAAGGGGCATGTTTTTGGGGGACCTCACTCTTATGAAGACCGCCGCTTGGATTTGCAATGAAAACATCCTGGGATAAGAGTTTTAATACGGGTTTATTTTTCCAGCTCACTTGGACCATGCCAGGTGATTCCGAAGCGCGAAGTGGCAGCATTGACGAGCTGAGGAGCGTCCGACCGAGTTTGCATCAAGTCGGCCGGTCTCGAACTGCATGGATTTGGCCAGCGTTTCTATCTTCAACAAGAACTTCAATAGCATCCGGTGTACAACAGCAGCAGCAGCAGCAGCAGAAACAACACAACGGACATCTCAGCGACAACGAAAACCCTGAGCGAAACGGTTTCAAACATTCTCAGACACCCTTCTAAGAAGGTGTTTGCCTTTTCTGGGCGTTTGAGGCCTTTGCTAGCCGACCAAAGTGCCAAAGCATTGCGCACAGAGCGCATTTCATTTCCTTTGTGGTTGCTTCGTTTGCCCTTGCAGGAATCGCGGACCCAGTGGCCCTGTTCTCAGCCCAACTTGCACCTAGGGCTGTTGGCCTTGATTTGGTGGCAGTGGGGAGGGTCCAATTTGGGGTGGGTGGTCAGCCAGCGTTAAACCTAGATCTTAGTGTTCATGTTTCTGAAACTGCAGGAATCGGGGTGCAGGAGATGTATTATTTTCTTGGATGCATCAGTGTCGACGCAACGTTGCGCGCAGACAAGAGAAACAATGGCCAAGTTGTCGGACCTTGTTATGTGATCTTGTACCAAGCATGGTGCTACCATGCAGTCACAGACGCCCAAATGAGAATGAGGACAGTAAAGTCAATATCAAAAGACAACAATGTGTGTAACTCTTTCGCCCTATTTCCAAAAGAGAAACCACCAGGAAACCAAGCCAAATTTTGGAGTCCTAGACCAATCCGCGAAGTTTGGGGACTTGCATCATTTACTTCCCAGTTTAACGTGGAATGCAAAACAAAGCGGCGTTTGTTTTGTGTTTTCGGAACCTCGTTTGGGGCTCCTCAGCCGATCCAATTTTAGAGAAGAATCCCTTCGATGTGCTCCATGTGCAAACCACCCAAAAAGATGAGTTTTACCACATGGGAACAGTTTCCCATGGTCATTTTGGGGCCAGGAATACTGTGTGGATTTGCAAGACTTTGCAGCAGGGCATATAGCTTGGTTGGGCCCTGTGTTGCCTTTTGGACAGAGAGAAATGGCGAGGCGCCGGCAGTGCCGAGGACTGATTCGTAGGGACCGGGTCGCTTGGACGATGTAAAAAGGGAAACCAAAGGGAAACCAGCACGGAGAACATCAAAAGGGGTTCATACAAGCGTGGGACAAGGGGGTTTGACTATGGGAACCACCCATGTATCGCTTCGGATTTAGAGAGTGAAGCAACAGCTGCATGCCTTGCATGGAAAGCGGCAGACTCAAGCACGAGTTGGAATAATTTGCAATAGATATGCAAACAATTCCATGCTTTTTGCAAGTTGCTGCCTGAACTTGTTGCTTCGTCATACAAGCCAATGATTGGTGGAAGGCAGTGCAAGGGTTGCTTTGTGCATGACACGTGTTGAGTCAATGTGGATCAGTCGGTGTCAGGAGATCGAGATCCCTCTGACTGCCCAGTCCCTGATCGTGCGGATGCGCATCATTTACGCGAATGTTTTGAATCGCTAATCAACCCACAATGCTAGGTTTCACTCACTGTTTGCATGCATGCATGAGACATATGTGTATATATATATATATAAGGTTCCTTGACGCTTTACACGATCAGAGTTCTTTCAAGTCTTGTGGCTTCGCTGTGTGCCACTGACTGATCGCTGCCAGCACAGTATTTGGCACAACAGCAGAACAAAGATTTGGGCAAATCTCGACCAAACAAAAACCGGAGTTTGTTTCTTTTGCAGACCCTACTTTGGAGTTGGTAAACTACCCTTTTTTCATCAATATGGTTTGCATGGTTTTATATTAGACGGGAGGGTGCCAGTGTTCGCGACAGATTTTGAGCTCAGGCAATTCTAGATGACTTGCCGAGCGAGGAGGCGGCTGAGTGAAGTTTAGCAGGAAGCCATCAAGGAATAGCAGGGGACAGTGCAATGATTGCTTTCCCTTGGAAAGCACCAAGGTCAGTTCCAATTGAGAGCTGTGTCCTTTTTGCATGTCCTTTTCTCCGTGTTGGGTACACGCATTTTTTCGCATTGCCCGACTTTGGAAGATAAACAACATCTAGATGCGAAATAATGGGGTGTGACACGCACAAGATTTGCATTTACTGCAAGATTCTGGCACAATCATGTCACAGCCATGTATCAAGTCCGGCCATGTCCAAGCCAGCTTGGGTCATTGGAGTTATGTTTGTTTTGCTGAGCTAGTTATGAAGAGCTCATGGATCAGGGGTTACACGAGCTCGCCAATGAAGGCCTTTTTTCTCCGGCGGCTCCCTTCTTTCCGGTCTGATACTTCTAGTACACCCTAAATCTAGCAACCCATCTGGCCATGTGTGTTTTGAGAGTACCCTTTCAGGCTGGAAGCAAGGGCAAGCAAATGGAGTAACACCTTTTGTGGGGTCCCCTTATTTTGACACATACCCGTTTGGCTTATTGGTTTATCCATTTGGACCTGCAGAAAAGCATCGCTTCCGCCAGGATGCGGAGGCTTTGTGGCAGGCCATGGCACAGGCAGCGCACGGGACGAGGTTAGCTGTTTTGTTATCTCGAGTTGGCTTGGCACTATCCCACGGCTTCGCCACTACCAGCTGGCTGCCCCTCTCTCTGTGTGTGTGGGTGGGTGCGGGTGCGATTTTGGACGGTTGGCAGGATGCCATAGATGTTTGGGATGCTGGCAAGCCTGCTGGGGCATGGGAATGCTGGGGAAGTCGAGGATGTAGGGGACGTTGGCGGGGATGCTGGTCGTGGCCGCGGGCAATTTGACTCTTTCTGTTGTTTTTTTCTCTGTTTTGGGTGGGGGTCCCTTAGAAACGATTCGGCAAAAGGGTGTCCTTTCTTCCCTGGCCACGAGGGTTGGGCTTAGTTGGTCTCGAGGTTGGTTAGGTTGTTGATCTCCGGGGGTTAGGTGGCGCGGACCACCTAACTCCCGGGCCATCCACTCGAAGTGTTCTTCATCCAGTCGCCAGGGAACTCAAACCATCAGGCAGTTGTCCAAGGCTCATGGCGGAAGCGGATCCCAATTCAGTGGCACCCTTCCTGTCATTCCAAACACTTGGGCAACTTGGAAATGGGTTCCGATGTTTGGCAGCCACATGGCCTCATCAAATTTTGTTGTGCAAGGCCAACCCAGGCTGGTTCGGAGGCTATGCGCTGCAGGCGGGGGGCCGAGTGAATCGCTCGACACGCCTCAAACCTCGTATTCTTGTCCTTGCATTCTCATATTGGAAGCCATTGGCATGTACGATCATCATGATTGTGCCAGGTTTTCTGTGTTGATGGCTTTCGGAAGGTGTTGAAATGTCTCGAGTCACAAAAGAGTCTTGCAAAGATCCTCAATTCCAGGGAGACGGGCTCACACGGGTTCTGACCATTTCCTATTCAGCAATGCATTGCATTGGACAAACTGTGGTCGGAAATTCGGGCCCTTGTTGGACCCAATCAAGTGCTGCCAATAAGGAGCCAAAAAGGGCCAGCATGTTTGAGAAAACTGACACGCAAGGCTGAGGCTATATGAACGTGTTCTTGAGGGTCGTGGAAGCAACTGCAAGGGAGCCACAGTCAAAACCCGGGCACGGTGAAATAAGTAGGGACAGTCCGAATTACATATGCCTCCTTTTGATTGTGATGTGTTTTTTGTGTTTTGTGTTTTCCCTTTTCTTTTCTTTTTCGGCGACTCAACTGAGCAGCGCCCTACTACCCGGTGTAACAAACCATACTGTACCTACGCCAGCGTTTATGACCACTGTAGTCGAACCAAAGGTCAGTGGGTTTTTGGCGCGCAGCTTTGGACATGTGCTGTGCGAGCCACAGGAAGCCCCGAAAAGTGACTGTTTCTCACCCTAAAAGTTGGTTCTTTCTTTGTGGGGTCCCTTCAAAACGATCCACAGAGGCCATACCATTTTGAGAACCCCGCGTTTGCTTCGAGAGGAGAGGAAGCACTCACTGCGCCGTGCCTCGGTGATGGCGCGGGCGATGAAAAAGGCGCAGGCGGGAGCATGAAGCCACCGAAGATGGGCCGGTCCTTGCTCTTTGCGTTTCCCAAGTGGAAACTCCCTTTGTTGTCCCTTTGTTTCCCAATTCTCTCTGTTCTCCCTTGTGTTTCCTATGTTTTTCCTTTGTTTACCCTAAAATGGGGACTAACTCCACAAGCAGAAACTGCACCCAAGAAGAGCCTTACTTCCGACCTGTGAAAGATATTGCAACTGCAATCCCTCTGGGTCAGGCAACCTTTGCCACAAAAGCCGTGTGGATAGCCGGAAACATTGAGTTGAGTCCATGTTGTTGGATAAACTCGGCACACGTTCCAACACATGCCGTGATGCATTTGAGAGCGACTGTGCTGATGAGTCAAGAGCTTCCGCGATGCTTTGGTGGCAGGTCCGCTACAATGATGAGTATTGAGCCAGGATCTTTCCCGTTGAGGCTTCCAGCTGCTTGGAAAAGTTTGGGCTGGAGCTGCGACTGGCCCACAAAATGATCTCCTTTGCTGCTGCAAAGTGGTAGATGCTCAGCGAGAGTGTCCCAGGGCCAGGTGAGTTGTTGCTCACGGCTTCCATTCCCTGGCCGGCATTTTTTAGAGCCTGCATGAGGGAGGAGTCAGTGCCAACATCCAGGCCGCACTAATTTTTGGTCATGAAACAAAGCTACGATCTAAAGATGCCATCCTGCCTTGCCATCCTTTCATCCTGCCTTGCCTTGCCATCTTTTGAAACAAACTTTGCCATTTCCGTTGCGTGGGACTCTTCCGCATTTGGAAAGACTGTTTCAGGCTGATACAGGCATGCTGCTAATGCGCTGGTGGCGTGCACAAGGACATGCCCATCGACATTTCAAGATGCAGGCCATGTGCCCGGGAATGCACAAGGACATGCCTCGTGGATCAAGCACACAAATTGAAGCAAGGCCCGGACACGTTCTCCATTGCCAGCCTGGCAAAGTCAGGCTGTGTGTGAGGAAGAGGTCGCAGCGAATGCAGGAAAGAATTTGTTAATGTTGGAACAGGTGCAAACATGAACTGTGTGTGCAATGCTTGACCACAATGGCATGTGCCATTTTGGCTCAAGCCTTGCCTCGGGTTCTGTGAACCCTACGGAGTTGGTGGAGGACCAGAACCTCACAGAGCACGATGTCGAGATGGCGAGCCGGGAGGCGCAGGAAGCGCGCACGCGGGAGGAGGAGGTGGCCGCAGGCTTGGTGTTGGATGAGCCCTCGGCCCCCCCGTCGGCTTCGGTTGCGGATGTGGTGAAGGACCTCTCCAACGCCCTGGAGCGGCTGCATGTGGTGTTTGACTCGGGGGGGGGGGACAAGGACTCGGGTGACAAGGCGACCACGGAGGTGCATGTCCCGCCGATGAAGAAGCTCAAGCGATTCGTGGCGGCCTCGCAGATGGGTCAGGCCCCGGAGACCCGGCTGTCTGCGGCCGGTGGATGACAAGCCCGGGTACTTCAAGCTCTTGCTTCGCTGCGGCACATCACTGCGGAGGAGGTGGGCTCTCTCTTCTACAAGTTCATTGGGAAGAACCTGACAGAGGATTTGGTGACGCGCATGCTTGAGGCTTATGTCCCCATGAAGATCCAGGAGGTTTGGGCCCCCCAATTTCAGCAGAACAAGGCTGGGGTTGGTTCCCAGCGCATGCGGAGGTTGGGCGCTGGACCATGCGCGGGACAGGGTGGCCCGATGCTGCGAAGCAGTGCTGGGTCTGCCCGGGCACAGAATCGGTTCCTTACCAGGCCCCCTCTGCCACATATACCACCTGCTCATCATGGAGGGCAAGCCAGCGTGGATCCAGCAGCGCGACGAAAGAAACCAGGCTGCCTCCGGCCGCGGTGGTACCCCAGCAACGGGAGAGCAAGCTTGTGGATGGCACGTTTCGGGGAGAGCCGTCCAAGGACGGACACCGTGGAGGAGGTCACGATGGCCGACACGGTTCCTCTAAATCTGAGGGTGGACATCCGTCAGGAGATCCTGACCATGGGCGCAGAAGACGAGGCCATGAAAGTCAGGGAGCGCCAACAGGTAAAGGTCATGCAGCGGTCCTTGCAGGAGGCGGAAGAGCAGTCCTTCAAGCTCTACCACCCGCAAGTGGAGCGGGCCATCCGGAAGAAGGAGGAATTCCACAAGGCCCTGAGCAAGAGGGAGTTGGGAAGAGACCTCGGCCCGGAAGCTGCGTAAGGAGTTGCTCACGGACGCCTACCAGCAGAGGTGGCCAATCCGAAAGGTCAACTTGGAGCGGTTCCGGGCGAAGATAAGGCACCAGTACCTGGAGGGGAAGAGCGCGGACGCAAGCCAGGGCTTTGACAGAGGCGAGCGATGGCTCCAATCCAGGAGGCTCAAGAAGCCAACAAGCGCATCCAGGATGCTGGATGACTCCCTTACACCCTTGGATGTCTCGGTCTGGCCAGGGAGAGGACCTTTTCCGGGTTGGGGACGCCCCCCAAGATTGCCTCCGGCCTGCCCCAGCACAACCTGGACTCAGAGCTTGGGGGTCTGGAGGCCGCACGGCGAGATCCCCCAGAACGCACACAAGCAGTTCAAGCTAGCTGACGCTGGAGGAGATCACAGCTTTGGAGATCAAGGCCCAGGTGGAGCAGGTCGACGGGGTGGCACACCCCTTGAGGCCTGGGTGCCTCCCATTCAGGATTTGAATGACTTGGGGTGGGTGGCCAGTTGGGCCCACCCAGCCCGGATTTTTTGACAAGGGAAGACGAGTCCCTGGCACCAACACAAGGCTTGGATAAAAGAGTTATCGCATGCTTGTGTGGTGCCGTTTGGTTAGCTTGCATACACAGACCAAACTTCTTGATGTTTGGAACTTGCGAGTATACTTGTTGACTCCGTTTGCTTCGAGTACACGGGTTTCAACTGTGACCAGTTTGTTCCCATCCGGTCAAACGTGGATCCTAGCAATGCCCGCAGCCACGCAGAATGAGAAAAGTGCGCTCGCTCTGCGAGGTAAATGTGCAGTGCTGCCTAAAATCACGTTTGACGGGCAATTGCCAACAACCACCTGAGAGGTCCAAGCAATAGTTCCAGTAGTGTATGGTTTACGCATTTTCCCACTACAACATTTGTCCAAATCATGTATCGCCCAATAATCAAACACTTTGCTTGTCTTTGGCTGGTATTGATGCTCAGCAACCCCACAGAAGTTCAGACCAGTGCAACAGTTGCTATGACCAAGCGAGTTTTGACCGTGGCGCATCGTGAGAGGAAACTTTAAGCCTACTTTGGAGGCTAGAAACCACTTATGCTTGTACATATGGAATTGTTTGGAGGTGTGGAGGTTGCACTTAAAATGGATTCTTTTTGTTGGAAGTTGTTTTTGCCAATGGAAGTGGGCAGTTTCGACCCTTTGAAGATGATCGTCTTCCGAAGCCCTCCTGCGATTCTCTGAAGATGTTTGCGCTTAAGCTTCACCCCCCCGACGCAGGTGGCCAAACAAGCCAGCAAGGCGATGACACGCACCAGCTCCTCAGAGGCTGGTGAGTTGCAACAGGTGAGGTTCGGTCAAAACCTATTGAGAGATAGATAGTTTCTTGGATTTTTTTGTTGACAGTGAATTCTTGGTTATAGACGGTGAGTTGCAAAACCCGCAACGTCTTGGTCAACGTGTCGAGGGAGCTAGAGGGGCTGGGGGCGACTCGCTCGAATCCCCACAAACCCTGAGGTACAAGCCATATTATGTGCATGTACATTGCGGGAAATGTGTCTTTTGAACTTGTTATGGCTTGACGATTGGTCATCCTTTTCAGGACTTCCCTTGAAAAGAGAACGAACATGAAACCGCGTCCAAACCCTACAAAGATTGAGACTGGATTCTTGGTGGAAAGGCCCTGCTTTAAAGGGCGCCCTTTTTTCTCATGCTTTTTGTTCGGGTGAAATGGGCTTGACTTCCTGAGGCTCCAAAATCCCAAGTTCAAGTGTTCAAGTGTTAAAGAAAGCCTTCCCTCAGGTCACGCTTTCTGACTTTCAGGAGTGACACAATTCCAGAAACATGACTTCCAAGGCTCCAAAATCTCAAAAAAAAGCCACTCTTTCGGACTAAGTCGACTTGGAGTGCCAGTTAGAAAGAGGATTCGCCTTTCCAGGTGCAAAAGCTGCGCAAGACTGGCGAGGGCTTCGCCAGGCGAGCGAGACCGGCCAATAGAGTCGGGGAAGGTGGATAGATGTCTTCCAGTTGCTTAAACATATGTTGATTTTCACTTAGGGAATCTGTCTCTACTGGAAACATTGTGTTTGGTTGTTCCAGGGGGCAAGAGCAAATGGAAGATATGAAGTGTCCTTTTACAGGGAACGTCCTTTATTCACGAATCACGGCGTGTCAATCCTGAGCTCTCATTAGACCTGCTGTACTTGAGTGTTGTCGGAATGAGTGAGGAGCAACAAGTGTGCCATAGAATTCCGGTTCGAGAGTTCGCCCAAAGGACGGGTTGTAATTTGTTGCTGGCAGTGCCGTTTCACAATTCACAATCCTACCCAAGCTGCATAGATATGTGCAGTCGTAGCAACCTGACTGTGGGGGGCTTTGCACGACCACCCAGCGTGAGATGGAATGCATCGGCAGGTCATTCCACCTTCACGCAGAGCAAGAAGAGGAAGAACAGGCCAGATTTGGGTAGCGTCATTAAGTCCCACAGACCATGAAAAGCAGAAGGGGACCGGACCTTTTGTTTCATTGTCCACTCCTTTTGGTTCCCTTCCAAGGGCTCCAATTCCTTTTCGGAAGCTTTCAGATGGGCATCCGCGGTTGCTGAGGCCCACCGCTTGCTTCGCCACCTGGAGGAGCGAAGGGGCAGATCCAGGCAGGGAGTCGACGAAATGACGCGCTGTCCTCAAAAGCTGTCCTGTAGTATCAAAATCTTTGGGGGGAGTATAACAATATATATATATATGTATATATGTATATATGTATATATGTATGTATATATATATATATATATGTATATATATGTATATATGTATGTATATATATATATATATGTATATATATATATATATGTAGATTGTCAAAGGAGCATGACGGACCACAGTTCTCACTTCGAGGCTCGGAGCCTTGACGAGCCTTGACGCCAATTCCCCGGTGCAAGCACTCACCAAATGGAGCCAGAATCAAGCCTAGTATCAAACAGGACCCAATGATTCAATTGCAAAGAATCGAAAGGGCAGATAACCAGAAGTCTGCATGGGACTGCCCCCGTAACCTTCATCTACTCGATGGCTCAAATGGAAGGCTGCCCTGCCTATCCCGTCTTGTGAGGTCTTTCGACCCACCCTAGGTCACAATGTGCCACGGTCGAGAAACTGGACTGACGGTTTGAAAGGAACTGTTGATATTTACACGATTTGTTGGTTCACATACCAACTGAGGCCTAGTCACCATGACCGAACAAGGGTAGGCAATTTGGTGTTGGGCCCTTTTACTTTTGTTTACGGGAGCCACAACTCTAATTGTCCTTGTGCCAGGCAACCACGTTCAAGCGGTCACATGTTGGCATTTGCGGATGGGCTTTCAAGGATACAACTGGGCAAATGAGCAGGGGCCCTTCTGTGGGGGGTCTGAAAACGGTTTCTAGAATTGGCTGTGTTTTTGTGTGCCTCAAAAGGGCGTTTTGCGTTGCCTTGGTGGACTCAGT